TCTCTCTCTCTCTCTCTCTCTCTCTCTCTCTCTCTCTCTGTCTTCTCACGACCGACGCGTTGCGAAACGCGAACTCGCGAGAAATCGCGCGGATATGCGGATGAATAAAAATATTTATTTGCTCAACACACTTGCGCGCGCGCGTACGTCGTCAGCGAACCACTGTTTTCTACACAGATTATTTGTAAGACTCCGTTCACGGACTAGCCCGCGCTTCGAATGTTCCACGTTATCGCGACGAAGGTCTCCGTTGATCGTTCATTTCGAAAGAACGCGTCTAATATATTTCGATTCGAGACACGAAAACGTCGTTGAGTTTCTTCGCGCGCACATTGTGCTAATGAGATGCGTTTGCCCAACGTAGATGGCGATAATGAATTATCTTGGCATAAGCAGCCTTGGAATAAAAATGTAATTATGTTTGCCAACGCGCGCATCCTCGGAAAGAAAACGGGATGAGTTATGATCGACAGCGGTGGCAGCGGCGGTGGCGGCGGGGTCGTCGTCGTCGTCGTCGTCGTCGTCGATGAGAAATGATCAGGTATTCCAGGTAGAACAAACGTCGCGCGACGAACGCGCGATAGATACACACGTAAGCGATGTTGACGATCGAGAGCTTTCAAGGGTTTCGCAATGCGCACTTACTTAATGCGAGTGCATGCGCAAACTTCGCGAACTTCCTCGGTCGCTCTTGCGCAACGATCCCACGAACGAGCAGTTCTTTTCTGCGCGCTCAAATTCTTGGCGTGTTTCTCCGCCGCAACGTAAAAACCTAAGGCGTCGCTGGTAACTCCGAATGCAACCTGCACTCATCTGCATTCCGCTGCTGACGACGAGGAGAGATAGAGAGAAAGAGAGAGAAAGAAACGCACGAGCGTGAATACCGACGTAAAACACGGTCTACAGTATTTTCAAGCTCACCGTCCTATATTTCCGCCTTGATTGTTTCTCGATCTGCGGGACTCATTCGCGAAAACGAAGAAAGCGTTCGCGAGAGAGATTTCAATGGAACGCGAAGGAATGGGGAACGACGCAAAACGCGAATGCTCTTCGAAATGCTCATTATCAGACGTCGAGTGACGTTGCAGTAAAAATCTTTTCAAAATCAAAGTACAAGAGAAACTATTACGAGAAGCCTAATTCAAGTGCCACAGAAAAATAGTTTAAAATAAACATAAAAAATTGTTTGAAATAAACATAAAATAATAATAGTTTGAAATAAACATACAAATTATCCGCATGAAAGAATATGGCCGTGAGTGCAAAGGGGAATATCACGAAGAACAATAAATATCGTAATTTCAAAAGACTTATTGCAAATGGTAGCTAATACTTGATGAAGCTAATATTTGATAAAGCGAAAGACAACATCCACTGCAGATGCGCAAAATGTCCAATTGGCGCAAAAACTGCTCGAGACGGTTCTAAATCCTCGATCTCCGCGGAGAGCTTCGATTGCAAAACTCGCCGGAAATAAATCTTATCGCGATCGGTCTGGCTATTAGCATACGCGATTTATTTCATCGACGAGAAAGTCGCTGTATTTGTTTTCGCATGCATGTTTCATGCATGCGTTGATCTCCTGACACACTATTCGCATTTCATCTTGGAAAAACTCTGCGTAACCTTCATCATGTGCAACTTTTAATGCAACGATAACTGTGGAATGTCTATTGTCAAGTTTTGATTAATCGACGCCTCCAGCGATATTATCAATCAATTATTCTCCGAGAATAATATTCGTAAATGGATATCCATTAAGGATATCATTCTCAATCTCCTGCTCATTGGCAAGATAGTAATCGATTTTTAATTGAGTTTAATGTGAACTGTTCATAGTTGAGACTACCGCAGCTCCGATTAGTCAAAACATCTGATCGAAATCAATTAGATATCAATGAGATACATTATCTAAGTATCCTTAATTCTTCTTCTAAGAGCTTTCAAGCTGCAAATCGCTATATAACTCAGTATCAACTCACAACTGCGTTCGAACTAATCGCATGAATCGAGAGCGGTATATCGTCAGGTCAGCCTGCGAATTCGAAGGATTTAAAGTAGGGCAAACAAAGCGCAGTTTATTTTTCCAATTGATGATGTACGTCCTTTCTCTTGCCATATCATAATAAAATCTTAACAATAATTCCTCTCGATCGTCTCGAGAATATTAATCAAAACGAAAGTGCCCACGGTGAATGCGCGTGAACTCGCAGACTGACCTGCTACTCTCGAGCTTTGCTCTCGGGCGCGCAAGGGACCGAGGCTCTCGACACACCGAGCCCCTGAAAGATTCATCATGTGGGACCATCCACGAAGAGAGACGTCTCCGAGGATTTCGGAGTTGGTCCGATCGACCAGTGCGATCGAGCGGCGGCCTGGAGCTCTCGGCTCACCCGTTACTCGTCCAGCACGCTCTCCGGGTGGGAAGGTGAGGAGGAGGAGAACGAGGAGGAGGAACAGGAGGTGGAGAAGGAGGAGAACGAGGAGGAGAAGGAGCAGGAGAGGGTCGAGAAATAGGGAGTGAGAAAGAAAGAGAGTGAGAGAGCGAGAGAGGGAGAGAGAGAGAGAGAGAGAGAGAGAGAGAGAGAGAGACGTGGAGAGGCTGTGCGAGGCACAGGTAAAACAAAAAGTCGGGAAAAAATTGAAAACCAGTCTTATGCAGTCGGTAGTCCGGACTACCCGACCGTCAGCGGACTCGTTCTCTCTCTCTCTTTCTCTCTTTCTGCGACTCCCTCCCCCTGCTTCCCCCTTCACTCCATCCTTTTCTCGTTTCATCTCTCTCGTTTTCTCGTTCGGTTTCTTTCTCTCTCTCTCTTTCTCGCTCTCCTCTTCTCCACCTCCACCGCGAGAGATCCGCGACGGTACAACCACCACCACCAACATCATCGCGAGAACGCTGCCGCTGCCGCCGTCGCCACCACCTCCTTTTCCTCCTCCTCTTCCTCCTCCACCTTCACCTCCTCCTCCTCCTCCTCCTTCCGCTTCTGCGGTCCTCTCGGTCCACGCTCTTCCTTAATTCAGTCCAATGAGAGCCGCTCTTCGATTCGTCACACCCGCCGATGAATCTCTCTATTCCGTCTGTTTTACTCTCTTTCTCTCTCTCTCCCGCTCTCTATCTTGATTTCTATTTCTCTCTTTCTTTCTATCTCTCTCTCTATTTCTCTCCCTTCTGATCCCTCTCTGTTTTCCCCCTCGCGGCAGGGAAGTAGATCGCCGTCGATTTCCGAAAAAGCGAGTGTTCCTCTTCGACTACCTGGAGAGACGCGTGCCCGCGCTGTCGATCTTCGAGCGTGAGCGAGATCGCGATCCACGACGCAAGTGCGTCGCGATGCGTCGCAACGCGGTGTCGTAACGCGCAGCGCGTGCATCCAGACGGTGCGTGACGGTGCGCGTGCGGTTCGCGTGCGGAATTTCGGTGCAACCCTTCCCGGATGGGAGACGCGTGCGCCGGACAGGAAGAGGACCCTCGCGGATGGAGGAGAGGCTCGTCACACCGCGAGTTTGTTTTGACGACGGGTCACTGTGCACCGCTGCACTTGCCGCGCGAGATCGCAGTGTCGTAAACACACACGCGCGAGACTCTTAGTGTGTTCTCACGAGGGAGAAAGAGAAACAGAGAGAGAAAGAGAGAGGGAGAGAGAGAGGGAGAGCGTTTGTTTATCGAGCGATCGAAACGCGTTCGAACGTCGAGCGCGCGCGCCTGCCGACGAGCGATCGTCTCGATCACGAAAAATACGAAAGTCGCGAAAGCCGATCGCCGGACTCGATTCGGAATTTCGCAGATTCGCAAGTTCAGAGAACTGAATTTCGCGAATCTGTCAATTCTTCGCGCTTCGTGTCGCAGGTGCGTGTTGTTCCTGAGCGTGTTCGTCGATCCGGACACTCGAATCGGAGCGATCGATCGGTTAACCAGGACACTGCGCGAATGCGACCCCAAGACGGCTGCCACGCTGAAATCGCGAGGGAACGCGCTTCCTAGAGGATAGAAGGAAGGATTTCGCCTCGGCGAGGAAACATGTCCCGCGGCGGTCGCAACGCGAACCGGTTGCGCGCTCTTAAAATAGTTTCTCACGCGTAGGTAACTGGCGCGCACGCCGCCCCGCCGCTGGAACACGATGCCGGAGAGTGCCAGGTAAATATCGATTGACTATCGCCGTTGAATAGATAGATAGATAGATAGATAGATTCCTCGAGAAAGAGAGAGAAGGAGAGAGGCAAAGAGAGAGAGAGAGAGAGAGAGAGAGAGAGAGAGAATGCGCAAGAGAAACCCGACGAGATCCGCTCGGATCCGTCGCGATCGCGATCGCGCCGGATCTCGGCGGCCAGTCGTCTCTGTGATCATGGAAAATAGCTCGGCTCCAATTAAAGAGGCCGATTTCGGGCGTAATTGCCGCGATGTCTGGAAGTCGTTGGTCCGCCGAGCAAGTTACCACGAATCTCGGGAAGAGCATCCCCTCGGAAATTATTACAAAAAATTTTATTAGGAGAACCTTGACTAAAATTTTAACAGACCTCATCAAGAGAAAAATTTCTTCGACCGTGAGAGTCGCGAAACGCAGAAATAGATGCACGCGCGTCTCTTCGAACTGCACCGTTCTCTTTACTTCTCGCTCTCTCTCTCTTCCTCAGAGCTTCGCCGAAAGTTCTTTAACGAGAAGGGAGTTATTTTCGACGTAGCGGTAACAAAGCGTGACGCGATCGATCCATTTGCAACGCGGCTTCAAGGAATCGCGACAGAGAGTTCGCGAAAGCTCAGTGATCGGCGAGATCGGAGTTTAATAATGATAAGTCTTATCACCGACATGCCGGGACATAAGCTTATCGATCCGCGTCAATTGAGACCCACGCTCTCATCAGTCGCACTGGGTCGTACTTCTGCAAGAACTCGTAATCTCACGCGGGTAACCTCGAGCGGAATTATTCTCAATGGCGATCTATATTCTACGTGGCGGTCAATGCACACTTTTTCATCGCGGTTTTCAATTCGCGGGAAAGCAAACCGCAAGCGCGCAAATGCTGGCGCGATTCGTCGTCGATTGCGAGCGCGGCACGCGTAAATCGACCCCTTTCCGAGTATAAAGGCCGTCCCATCGAACGCTAACTCAATTAGCACTCGAACGTAACGTCGAAACTGCGAGGATTAAGCGGTCAGAAAAGTCGGCATTGTGTACGAGACGGTTCGGCACGGTGAAGTCAATCGACCGTGACGCGTCTTCGATTCACGGGAAGTCGTAAATCCATGACCGTATCCCTATTTTGTAGACCAATTAGCACTGGACGCGACCGCGCTTTTCATTCCGGGTTCTATTTGCATGAAATTATTGACGTGAGAATTTTATTCGCCGTAAACAAGCAGCGAACAAGGTACGAACGAGGAGCGATAATCGGTAACCGCAATTTTAGAGCTGAATGCGCGATAAAAGAATTCGTCGAAAGGAATGAAATAAATGTGACAATTAAGTCGCGAGAAGCACAATCACAGAAATCAAGTACATTTCTCATCGAGAATTACGTGCTGATTTGTTTCAAAGATCTCTCACGGAAACTTCGATTTGGAATTTCGTTTGTCGCAATATCTAAGTACGAATGACTAAAGCTCTAATCCATGTCTTCGATGGCGCGCTCAACGTCAAATGCGACCGTCCGACTTCTCTTTGTTCATCATCAAGATATTATTGAATCTTATCGCGGATCTGTCGTAAATGTGCGTCGCAAGCGCGGGCTGTTCGATGGCAAACCGCGAGGACTCGATTTCGCGAGCGTGTCGAGCGTGTGCTCGGTAATTCCTGCATTAACCGAAAATAATAATACTGCAGACGACACCGTAAATGGGAGTGATAGCGCAATAACGGCGCGATGCCAATTGACAGCGCGATGCTTCGATAACGCGGATATTTACGCACGAAGGAGGTCACGATGCGACAAGCCTTCAAGAACCGCGGACAATCGAGTTGTGCAGCAACGTCCATCGCATGCAGCGTCTCGCGACCACGTTAAATCGACGTCGCTTTTTAATCAGCCTTGATGCAATTTGCCGAAAAATAATGGCCGGACGAGACATTCGCTTGAAAAGCGATCTAAGGATTGGGAATCGAAGGAAATCGCGCGCTGTACGCGCATCGATCGCCCCTTCCTCGAGAGACGCAGTATTGTCGAACTATTACATCACGGCGAGCAGGACGTGCGAGCGGTTGACCTTTTCGCGAAATTTCAGCCCTATTCTGTCCAAGTGCAACGGCCAAGAAGGAAGCTTGAGCAAAATCCTCACCTTTCCCAAGTGATTTGCGTATCAACCCGGCTAATTGAATTTTCCACTTGAGCAGAACGCGAATACACACGCGACGCTGTTCCAAATATCGCAGCGCGGATCATCAAATTGAAATGAGTTGTTTCAAGCGGGAAATCTCTCGATGTATACAAAATTACGATGATTCATTTTTTATCACTGTTCCTCCCGTGGATCTTTCCTCGCTTCTCTCGCCGAGTCACGCGATTGTATTTCGTGGACAGGAGGATCACGCATCCACCACGGGTTACGCATTTGCGTGAGGAGGAACGTGCGAGGAGGAAGGTGAGACGAAGGAAGGCACCGGTGGTGATAGAAAATGATTGGAAAGTCTTCCTCCGCCGTGCGAACACACGCGGAACGTGCGCGGACGTAGGTAGACGGCAGCCTGCCGCCTTCTGCGAAGGCGATTGGCGTTTGTTATTGAAGTTATTCCATCGCCTCAGGCCACAGAACGAGAGGCGAGGCTGCGAGTGCCAGCAGCCTGTCCCTGGATGACAAACATCCACATTTCGCTCGAGCTGGAATTTTTATTAAAACAGCATTCGCGCGATCGCCCGTCTCCACGTACGCGGTGTCCCGAGCGTACTCCCGCGGCTTTCGCGAGTTACTCGCGCGGAATCGCGAGGAGACGACGTTTCGCGTCGCGCGTCGCGCCGCTCCGGATTCATGCGCGACGGAGACGATCCCGACGATCGTCCGAGTCCGCGTGACGCTTGTCGTCGCCCGATGGCATAATAGGACAGCACGTCGCGTTTCTCGCAGCTTGACACTTTATTGTCCCGATAATCACGCGCTAATGGACGCTCGTAAATTTTCCACAACGTGAAATCCGTGAAGCGGCTTAAAGCGGCAGATCGTATCGCGACAGATTTCACTAGGTGGCCGAGGTAGACCCTGACGTCATCCGTGTAGCTTGCGGGGTGCATCGAAACGTCGCGACGGACCCGACGGTATGTTACGGTCCCTTCCTAATTCTGGCACAGCTTAACGCGAAAACTCTACCCTTGCCGACATTAGATTTCCTTAAATTTCCCACCTGGAACTTTTCCCGCCCGCATCTTCCGGCGCATAAAATCAAATTTTACGATCGTCGCGTCGTCATTCAGGCTGGCTCGTTAGAATTCGACACGGTGAAGTACGGAGAATCCCGCGTATCTTCCGTGGTCGGCCACATATATCATAAACGTAACAGGATTAACGAGTTATCAACCGAAAATATCATTCGCGCGCTGCGATACGCCGAGAGACACTCGAAGCGGCAAAATCAAACAACCGCCCAATAAACATCCAAACAATCGTTACCGACATTTGCCCGCATAAATCGGAAGGATCGAGCGCTTATCGATATTATCGTGTGATGATTATCTGCCAACGAGTTTTCTATCGTCATTTCGAGACAAGAAGAAAGAGAAGAAGGACCCTAATAAAGTCTAGCTGCCAAAGTGTGACTGCTTGCACCAATATGAGAAGGAATAGCAGATAATTACCTGGAAGCCATCGTAAAAGCGTTTCGTGGTGGTTCGTCGGTGCACCTTCATTTACGGATGACCTAGGACCCTCTCCAAATTAGAGTGGGGGTCCTACCTTTAAAACTGACGGCTACAGGTCGTCCTCCGTCAAAATCCTTGTGACTAGTCCAGCGCGAGCAACTGTTCTGTCAGTTCTGTCATCCGGTGACGTTAAGAAGAAACAGTGAATTGTGAGCCTGCAAGTTAATGAGAAAACGACTGATAAGATATGGTAGGGAAATACAGGTGATACAGTATAATACTTATAATACACAAGAAGAAAAATAAATATCTGCAAAACTTCCGTTGTGGGTGTAAATATTCAAAAATTTTTTTAATTCAAATACACGTGTACGACTTGCATGACATGTAATCGACAATGTAAAGATATGTCCATATAGAGGATACGAAAAATAAATAAACATTCTAAATTTCGTGTTTATAAAGTGCAAGAGGTTGTGTGGATATTCCATTGTTCATTGTGTTCAAAGCGAATATTCTTCTATTTGATATTCAAGACTCGATACAATGAAGATAATAAGGTATTAAATTGTTTGGAATACGCTTCTTTTCCTCTCTATTCTTTGCTTTTCATCTCTTTCTTCATTTAATAATTACCATGTCTATATCGATTTCAAGCGACAAAATAGATTAGAACAAAGACACGTACTATGGAATTTTTCGAAATGGACTCGAAAGAATTCCATGATACGTGCTCAAATCGACTAGAGACCAGAATTCGATGAAAAATGCAAATTGAATATTTGGAGTTTATTAATTCCGATATGTTATTCAAAATATTTGAAATTTCTTACATCAGGTACGTCTGAATGATATATAATAGTGTGTAAACGTAAATATAAACAAGTCAAGTTGCCGTTATGAGTAGTTCATACTACAGATGCTATTTTCCTATCAAAAGACATGAGAGGACGAGAGAGTGTGGAGCCCGCGACTGACAGCAACGCTTTCGACCGAGTCGATCGCGCCTTTCCGATCACTGTATGTAACAGGTCGTTGCGATGGAATTCTCTTCCAATAATAATTCACCCAAGATATCGTAGGACGCGATTATACGCGATATAAATAGAAGCTTAATTGGCACGTTCGAAAGATGCAATTATTGCATGAACGATTTTGCATTCGATTAATATCGTCTTTCTCCTTGTCCTCCCCGGTATGTCGGCGAGTTTTTAATGCTCCCGGGCATGTAACATATGCGTGTGTATGTGTGTGCCTACTTGCACCTACCAACAGGATTATTTCGAAAACGAAGAGTGTGATCGCCGAATCGGCGATCGTGAAAATTCTCGGAGACAATCACTCTCGTCGCAACTTTAACGGTTATTTTTCAAGAAACCCACAAATTTATCATAGTAGCGGTCACATCCTCTATTACACGAATACAGAAACAAAGCTCGAAATCTTCAATTCTTCTGCATTAAAAGTAAAAGCTTTCATGAAATGAAAGCTGCATGAAAATAAAAGAGCATTCTTAATCTTATGAAATAAGAAGATTCAAATATTTTCATACAAACATGTTTCCTCTTGTTTCTCCTCTTGTTTCTTGAAAAATAACTATTAAAGTACAGGAAGTTGCGACGAGAGTGATTGTCTCCGAAAATTTTCACGAACGGATCGCCGATTCGGCGATCACGCTCCTCGCTTTCGAAAGTTTGTGTATAATGTGTATGTTTCTTTAACTTTGCCGGAATTACTTGAAAAAATTGGAGAATTTTATTTACACTTTTATATTTTCTGCTTTAGGCAATAAATTCTCTTGCATGAAAGGCGACTCAATCTTTATGAGAACGCGACTTCTTCCGGCCGGTTGGCATTCACGACTTTAAAAGAGGTACATTTTTAATTCTCGTCACTACGACGAGTTCCGGAATTTCCGCAATTATTCCGTCAGGCAGGAAGCGAAATCACTTCCACGACAACGGCAACAAAGAAGCCCCCGAATTCGCGAAGACTTAAACGAGTTTAAACGGTGACCTCGGCGTTATCCCTGGAGGAGAGGAGCAACATTACGCTGATTGCTCGGTTTAGTCGCGTCGCGCTGCTAGGAGAGGAGACTGAAATTTCATTCTTTTAGCACGCGTTCCCCGCTTAATGACACCCTGACTCATGTACATGAATATTCTTAATAATCTTAATCGGACCTCGTCCGCATAATCGCCGCTCTCTTCGTCTCCGTAAAGCCAACCCGGCAATGGCGTGAGCCAGAGGACATTATAATCGCGCTTATAATTATAGTGTCTCGCGTTTACGCGTAAACAATGGTCGACGGTCTGCGTTCACGTTTGCGCGGCGAAAGAAAGAAACAAAAATCATACGTGTTAAAATTCACTCGTAGACAACGGCTGACGTTATAATTGTGCGATTCTCGATTTAATATTGTCGTGGAAAAATACTGCTTGAGATGCTCCTTGAGATTTATAATATATAAATAAAATCTCGTGTGACAAAATTAATTTTGGACGTTTCACGACCAACGATAAACTACATATACTACGTCATGTTATAAGATTCCCTTCTCGTCTCTTCCCAAAGATAACGATTCTGATTGACATAAACTGTTTTACGGACATTTATAATCATAATACGTTGAGTGAAGGAGTCAAAGGTGTAAAGAGAGTGAGTTAAATCGGGTTTGTTTCAGCTTCAAGATGGGCTTTAACGCATTGGTCAGCGTGACCGTTGTCTACATTCTGTTTATGATTACCGCGACGAAACGGTCAGAAGCGTGCAATGAGGCAGTCTGTGCAAGTGTTGTGAGCAAGTGTATGCTCACGCAAAGCTGTAAGTGTGACATGGACACCTGTACCTGTTGTAAGGAATGTTTCTCGTGCCTGAGCTACCTGTACGATGAATGCTGTTCGTGCGTAGGTAAGAGCTGCGTTCCTACATGAGCGATAATCGAACCCTCGGCCCAATACTTGGGAACTTTTATCAGATTTACGTTATTGTCAGGGAAATAAACTATGTGTGGCGTTTCGTAACGTTAAAATCACTGAAAGAGGAATACAAAATTCAAGAAATATTATTGTAAAAATTTGAATTAAATATAATAAAACCACGTATCTCTATTTTTAGAGTGAAGGGAATGAGAAAAGTAAGCGAAAAAATAAAAATTAATAAAATTATAACGTTCAGATATCGCGGCTAAGATAACGACGCTTCGAGCATGATCGCTACACATCTCGAACTAATTTTCTTTCTCGACGAAGCGGCGATGCGTATTTTCCGCGAAAAAGTAGGCAGGTCAATCCGGCTTGAACCGCCTACTCAATCAGTTTCCATCCTGCGTTCCTCGATAAGGAAGGAAACGACGATAATATCGGTGCATCCTGTATATGATTGCTAACGCGTTGCGTCTTCGCGCGCGCAGATCTCTGCCCGAAGCCGAATATCACTGAGAACCCGTTGAGCAAGAAGTCACATGTAGAGGACTTCAACGAGCCGGTGCCAGCACTCTTCCAGGCGCTCACCGCCGAAGAAGATCCGCTCCAGAGATGGCGCCACTTCACATTCCCCGTGGACTATGACACGTCGCTGTTTCATTCGAAAAACAAGGATATGACTTATCGCGTGCGTAAGTATCGAGAATCAGTATAGCATCTATACGGAAATTACAAATACACAAGCGCGAAGTTTAATTATTTATTTGTTTATTTATTTAATGTCCAAGTAACATCGACATCTGTTCCGTTTCTCACGGTCGATATAATCGAACGATGAGACGAAACAAATTAACGAGTATAACAAAATTATCCTATCCTCAAAACAAACAACTCCTCGCGAACGACGTTGCTCGACACGTTGCTCGCAGAGCGGGTCAGAAAAATAATAACGTACGTTTGAATATGCCATAGAGACCAACCTCGACGGAGAATTGAACGCCCTGAAGCCGAACGTGATGACAGTCAACTGCACAGTTGCCTTTATGGCACAGTGCATTTCTTGGAACAAATGCAGCGCGTCTTGTCAGAGTATGGGCGCCACCAGCTACAGGTGGTTCCACGATGGTTGCTGCGAGTGCATAGGTGACACGTGCATCAACTATGGGGTGAACGAGTCAAGATGCTTAAATTGTCCTTTGAAAAAGGACGAGGACGACGACCTGAAGGATCAGTACGATGATTATGGTCAAGTAGAGGATGACTTGGTCGATGACGAAGTTTAGTCATCACCAACATTTCCCGTCTCCTCTTCATGAAGAGATAGTGTTTCGTGAGTGATTTTTTTTATACTGACACGCTGATCGTAGTTACGGACGTGATGATTAATTTTAAAAAGACTAATGTTTCTGTTATTTTTTGTTATCGTGTACAAGAGTGCCTTTTGAAAGTTACGCTGAATTTCGTGCATTTGAGAATTTTTCCTTCGAGCAAGACAGTAAGTGATTCTGAAGTAAAATTCGCCGATTAAACTATCAATATACACGCTCCAAAATTCTGCTTTCTGAACTCAGAGACTGATCATAACTGATCGCAGAGCGGTCTCTACGATCATTTAGGAGTGATCTTCAAAGGACGCTCACTCGAAAGCGAATTTATTCTTTCCGTTGTCTACGAGCGATGTTAGTGATGGCATAAAATAAATCTAATTATAAAAAAAAGCTCGAGAAGCGAACGTGAGAGTGTATAACCGTTAAAGATATTTTCAATAAATTTTATCATAAAGTAACTCACATGTTTTAATATAATGTTAAGATGCAACGAGTTTACCGAATATAAGATCAGCCTCCAAGCTTCACCTGGTCTCCGTATGCAAGTGCAGTTACGCAATGTGCGAATGTATGTATAACCTCTTTTGTTTTGTTCCCCTTTTTCTTAAGAATGCACTCGAGTAAGAATGTCATCGAGAGTCTTGATTATCACGTCCGTGCCATATAAGTACAAAACAGTATAGTTGGCCCACACATAAATCTGGTTGTGCCTACAGTACTATTTTTTCCGTTAAGATTGTACATACATCAAATCGATCAGACATCGATGTTGTTTTACACACGCTGAATCTCCTCGGAATTCCCTCAAGCAGGAAGATGAAAAGCCAACATTTGTGAGTTCTCAGAATAAAATTACGCGTGCATGCCTGCAGATACGTGTATACGCTTGCGGTAACAGTCTCTGGAAATTTATGAGCGGCACTCCACGTATCCACGACGGTGCACGCGTGCTCGCTGAGCAAGGCAACGTGAAATGTTTAGCGATCGCGCGTGCATGCGTTTCGATACTGAGCTAAGCACGGAAGATTGAAGAGCAACGTGTTCGCAGACAGAGTCTAACAAATGATAAAATTATAAGAAACATTTTGCGACCAATTTTGAGTGACAATTGCCGAATTATACGTAATTATGCAATAATGTATTATAGATCTGTGAATCGTATACGTATATACGAGTTAACAGCGTACAGGGCGTTCGTTTTGCAAGCGCAAAACCGGAATATTATTTCGTAGTATTTGTTTGTTAACAGATACTATTTAAATGCGATATTACGATACGTGTTCTCGAAACACGTTTCGCCGCAATACGAGTTTCGAAACTCGTATTGCGTGGTGTTTTTTTGGTTTATAGTAATGTTATAAATAGCTGGGAGCACCCTGTATGATGTCTTTTAAGTACACATATATGTTTTTTTATCGTTAGTCGCACAGTCAATATGCACGTATTAAGCGCCGTCATACTGCGCCCACAAATATCAAACATGTACACGTGACAAATAGAATTGGTCAATTCACCAGGTGAATCAACGCGAGTCAACGAATTGTATCCTAGCGACGAGAGATTTATCTTTGAATCAACTCGATCGCAAAATATATCCAAACGGTTAGTGTCCTCTTCAGGAACCTCTTCGCACAATATGTAGAATAAGATAAAACGTTTTAGATAAAAGTGTCATGTGTCTTCCTTTTATCGCGCGCGTGCGACACTTCCCTTCCTCGAGTTCGGAAGGAATCGTCTCTTGTGCACTCGACGATTCGAAGGTCGTCTGTTTTGCCTGTGGATACATCGTATAAAACGAGATGGCGGATATTTAAGCGGGTGGATGTTCATCTTGTATTTCGTTGCTCTCCGGCAACTTGATAAAGGATAAGTCGCCGCCGCTCCACATCGAATACAATTGCGACCTCGTGCACTCCTAAAATCATCATCGACATTTACTCTGAGTTGAGGAAGAAGAACAAGAACAACAACTAAGGAAAAAAGCGAGGAATGAACATCCATCCAACAACATCAAAGCATGATGCAGCGTGACGAAACAGACAGATAATTAAAAGTAATTCGTACATCATATCGTATCTGTGACTGTACGCATTTTATAAATATATTTTCTTTTCGCGTTACACATATTTCCGCAATTCAATTTGAATCTTCTCTCAAATATAAGCGTTAAATATGACGTTCGTCCTCTTTCGAGAAGGAACGAATTAAAACATAGAGAGGAACGGCAAAGAACAATCCTACTTAAGTAGTAATTAGTAGTAAGTTTTAGTATGCAATCATTATATATTAAATAATGAACGTATAGAAAATAGAGTATATTTATGTAGATTCTCGCAAATAGCGATGTTCATCGATCTTTCTCATCGAATGTTATGTCCTGGCCAATTAGCAATAATCACAAAGTGAACATTTTACGAACGGGTTGATTGAACTGATCGATGAATTGTGTGCCTTTCATTATCTTAATGGCGATTCATAGATTTTGATAAAATAATAAAACAACAGCCGTAGAATTGTATCGTTAGAATTGTGGCGTGTAACAACACGGCAGGTGACAAAGAAACAGGTAATATGCACACAAAATCTATCTCATGTTCAGACAATTTTTGTTCAATCTTTAGCAAATTATAATATTAGAGACACTTATTAACCGAAACGTGTCGCTTTCTCTGGTTATTTTTTACGTAGTATTGATTGTTTTCTGCAACATATGATAAATACATATTAATAATTGTGACAACCCCTTATAATTACCGTTCATCTCCATGTTTGAATTCGTTTTTAGAAAAATCGTATTTAACATTCACAATTCAATAGAATTTTTTTTTTAATCCTCTTCTTTTTTCTGTATAAACGTCAAACTTGTTCGCTAATCTCAATCGAAAGTACTTGGACCGAGGATTGTATTATATTTTATAACGCAAACTTCTGATGTACGAACGGCTTTTTTATTCAGTACCTTGGAAGAGGAGGAAATACCGAACTTAACGAACTTAAGGACCACTAATACCGTGCTCTAACATATAGAATGCGAACTGTTTATTTACCCCGCCACCTGCGCTCTCCGAGCCTGACCTGCTGTGCGCCGAGATGCAGGAATCAGTGGACGAGCTGCTCTTGCGAGACGGCAGTGTGTCCGCAGTACCTTCAAAGAGAGACATGTTCGACCTAAGACCATCGCGTGGAAATCACAACCTCTTCGCGTCAAATATTCGGACGATTCGAGGCGACAGAATATTCCGAATCCACGACTCACCGGTTTCGATCTCCCGATGATCGCAATGCGAGTGAATGCTGTCTTTACTGTCGCCGTGGCTGCCGCTGGCACCGCTCTGTTCTGCAGTAACATTGCAACGGAATCGTTCACGATCTCCTCGCGATCCTATCGGCCGAGAATAACTTAGCGTTTATGACAAACGACCATTCAGCCTTACCCGAGTCCCTGTGCTCGCCGCTGTGGACACTCTGATCGCTGTCGCGATGTCCGGACTGATCAGAATGGTCGCTGGAATCCTGCGGCCAGCACCTAGGCGAGCCTATTCTACGCGAGCTTGGCCAAATAGCAGAGTCATAGTTCGACTCGAAGTTGCAGGTCGTCAACGTGACGCCCGGGATATGTTGACTAGTGTAAGCCGAGAGTTGATTGGACGGTCGAACTCCTGCACAACGTACAATCTTCGAATCGTACACGGAAAACGAACAAAGCGAACAGCTAGTTCAACGAGTTATGTTTAAGCCTACAAGTTCGTACTCTCAATCTTGCCAAAATTGAAAGAAATTCAAAGAAAAATTCATTTTACGAGAAATTCTAATTACCCGAAGTCGAGTGTTCTCGACTAATCGTTGTAAATTTCGAATTAAAAGCTGAATTGCAAAAATCAAATCCCTGATAATGCTTCACAATTCGTCTGTGTGTTATAGATCATCCTTGCAATATTCTTCTGAGACAGAAATAATTTGTAACATCTTCGCGAAAAAAGCAAAATTCGCCGGCGGACATTTCGCTACCTGGCTTGCAAGAAAGCAGCTGAATGGCTTCTTGAAGACCGTCCTGACTAGCCATGGTGGACGTTTTCCACACCGAATCAGGCGTGGTCGACCTGCTGCGGTCCTGCTGGGGCACTCTTAATCTCGACCTCGCATCCTGACGTGGCCATTCTATGACGTGCCTGCAGTCCCAGGGCATCGACCAACGCCTCACCGTGTTCTCGCAGGATTCGCCCGACATTTCCGCCGCCGCGGTTTCCGACCATCTCCTCTGAACCTTGCGGATACGAAACCAAGTGTAACGCTTACTATTAGACCAACCGAGGAGCGACACGCGCACGACAATTACCTGCAGAGGAAACAACGAGTACGGCAAGGGGGACCTCTGGTAATTTTGAGCAGAATGCTGAGTGGACGAGGTGGATATGGGTGGTATCGGTGAACTGTAAAGACGTTCGAAGCATTGTTGAAGAGCGGCGATATCGCAATCACCGCTACCGCTCTGCGAGCATGAGCATTCCGCCATGCCACCTGTAGTATGCGAATTCGTGATTAGAATCGAAGTACGGCCTTTTCCCGATGTAATCGGCCACTAACTAAATTCTACTTCAGTCATATTCTCCTCTCGAGAAAATTTCGATTTTTCTAAAATTGAATCGCATAACTTCCTCAAGAACTAAATTGCAATAAATACTATACGACCCTGTTTTAATAATCTTCACTAATCCTACCATAATTTTAGTGAATGATAAAGATCGAAGTAATTGCGCTTTCGTATCAAATACAAGCTTACCTAAACATTCACAGCAAGCAACGCAGAATTGATATTGCAAGTTTATGAATGTCAAGAGATTCTCTCTGAGAATGTCCTGAAAGTGCAAAGACGATTACACTAGCGCTTTAACGCAAGAAAAAGTCAACCAAATGGAAACATTTACTAACATGTTTGTCCCCGTCATTATCACGAGACTCGTGATCCCTCAGGGCAGTGATTACATGGTTCTTCACAGTATTGCTGGCCACATGCGTAGCCCTTGCCAATTCCTCCCAACCGGCCAAACACTGACCTGTCAAACGACACTGTGCCACCGTGTCGTGAACCGAGAGAAGCCCTTGCAGGGATTGGGCCAATTTAGTACCAGCTGTACATAGGCCATTAAGTGTCTGTAGTACGAGAAATGGTTTATTTTCTCTCCTTCGTGGTAACGCGCGCAAGCATTACCAGAGATATACCAACCTGCAAGTACGTCAGCCAGTTACCGAGGCACTCGTTTATCTCTAACTGACCCTTCGAAACCTGACCGTCAATAAACTTCGGCTCCGTCCCACCCTCAGCCATATCTGAATTCCCTTAGACTGCTGAGAACGTGCACCCGATGGAACGCCTCATCGTCGCCTCATGCATACGCATCGCCAGCGCTCAACATCGAGGAGAGTTATAACACCGACTCATCGGGATTCATAGGACCGAGCTCGCGGCAAGTGTAACGACGCGATGCGAGCTTCTCCTGAACAAGATAGAACCTAGGTTGATGAGACAAGTGAAACTCGATCGACAATGGCTAATCTCAGTACTCACATCCTCTCGCTCTCTCTCTCCCATTTACTTGGACCGTTTCGAGAAGCGTGAGCCGAGGAAGCGGATTATTGAGCGTCTCGCTGGGAAAGCGCGATTCGCGCATCGACGTGGAGGCCGCCGACATCGTTCCTTCGTGTATTCGCCATACAAGCACCTACGAGATACCAGGACACTCGCGTCCACACGCTTGCTGTCATCGCTCCTGACGTAACCGGAACGTGAGTCAGGCCGCCGTCCATTTGCTACTTTGAAGCACGCTGGCAATACATGCGACTTCATACGTATATATGTATACGTTTCATTGATCAAGTGGACCGCCTCGGAACTGATGCTTAGCGCTACTCCGGGTGAACTACACAATCGTAGTACCATGGAATCCTGTCAGATGACGCCATTTTGTTATTTCGCAATGAATGTACGAGCAACGCATTTTCGCCGCGAAATCGCGTTACCGATTCATATTCCAATAATTGCGATGTTAATTTACGTGATTGTTTGTTTGCAATTTCGAGTGGGACTGTGATTTGTCTACGTGTATGCATACATGATATTTGTATCTGCTTTTATCCACATTTAATTTCTAATTTATTCTTTAATAAATTACTGTATCATAAGCATAAGCGAATATGTGTGAATAACGTGATCTATATTTTCGTGCTTACGTTCAACTTTATACAAAAGAGAAAATGTAACAAATTCATTTCCGCCACGTGTGTTTGCCATATAATTATGCGGTCTCGATGTATTTTTTTCACGGAAGAAAATGAAAGCGTGGCGTTCAATCCTTATTACATATATCAAGTGAAATGAGAGATAGAAAGCTCATAGAAATCTTGAAGACAAAAATTCAATGTAGTCACTGATTTTATGATATAAGAACTGCATTTTGCAGAATAAGCGTGTTGCAATTTCATTTGCATAATTCATATATATTATATTGTGTCCGCGCAAAAATTCGACACAATGCATTCGGTTGACGTTGTAATTATAAACGGATGTAATTATGAGCGACTCATAGATAGGCACCCGAAGATCATGCGGAAGGAAAGCGGACGCGGCTTTTCCGACTCGTTAATTCATTTTACATGTTTCACCGTGCCTTCAACGACAATGTACCTAATTAGCTAGTCTTAGAAAAGTGATCTTTCCCGTCGAAAGCGGAAAGTGCGTGTTTTCTTCATGCTCGACATTAACATTGACCAGAAACGTCAGCAGAGTTTTTTTCCAGAAGAAACAACGTTCTATCCAGATAAGTAAATCTTCTCTTGTCGCAATTATTTCGAATATATCTTATAATCGTATAAACAATTAGGATAATATAAAATTTAGTTGCCCTCAAAAAACGAAAAAAAATGTCGGGATCTCAAAAATCAAAACTCAAAAACACTTGGCGTGCCCGGAAATACACACAATCGTGTTAAAACATAAACCACAATAAATTGTGCATTTTATATTTTGTATTAATTGCGGCAAACCGTTTTATAAATTTAGAATGGAAATATAAATTTTTTCTGAAACCTTACACGTTTTAATGCGAATCGGCCACACTAAGTGCTTTTGGATTTCAATTTTTGTGCTTAATTTTATTTTATCCTAATTTTTTACTATTTTTTAAAAGGAATAATTTATAATATAACCTCGCATTATTTATAACCAACCTGTTTCTCGCTTCGTGCGCTCATTTGGCGCTACCGTGTCTCTTGATCGTAATTTCGAATATATATAATTCGAAATATTTGGATCGCGGCAAAAGCAAAACAAGACTCATCTTCTCTGAAAACTTGTTGTCTCTTTCATGATTCAAATTTCCTAAACAAGTAACATTGCGTAGGCATGGCTGATCCTCCCTAAGGGTTTCTCAGGTTAACAACCTATCTCAGAGCACCGTCGTATGCCTTGAGTTATGCCCGTCTCGTTCTAGAGGCGCGACATATCCACGAGGTACCTGCGTACCTCGCGTTTCGCGAGCGAGCGCGAGGAGACGAGGTAAGCCCCGCTCTGGAGGTGAAAGGGGCCCGAGCTGACGTCGGTAGGTAGATGATTGAAAAAAAAAAACAACGAACGCGAGAAAGAGATGGAGAAGGAGGGAAGGAGAAGGTGGAGGGGCAAGGGGAAGAGACAACAGCGGCGGAGTGGAAACGCGATCGCGCGGAATATTGCGGTGGCAGAATTACTCGGTGAGCAGGGAAGGGAAGGGAAGAGAGGGCCGCGGAGAGCCCAGCTGGCGCGAGCCCGAAGACTTCAAGAAGGGGACTCTTAACGGTAAAGTCGCTGGTAACCTTATAGGCGACTTCGCGACGCGAGTCCGCCGTCACTGACCACGACCGACCGTTTCTTCTTTTCTTCCTATTTTATTCTTGGTTGCCGACGACAAATCGGCGATACACAGGGCGCAGCTGACGTGGGTGCACCCGAAACCGACTCTAAGTCGAAGGTTCAGTCGATATACTGGAGGATGTAACAAAAATTATGCCCCCTCGAATCGAGCACCTTGAACAGACGATGACTCATTCTTTTTTGACCCTTGAGTGCCGTGATTCAATGTTCCGCGATCTCGACGGCCTCGTGTAGGGTCACTCGTGAAATATTGCGTGCGCCCATAGTTGTTGTACAGTCGCTTCCGCTGTCGGCCAGAATAACTTACGGTGGCCCGCGCGAATTAGCGTTGTTGTGGATCGCATGTGCGGCTATTATGCCTTAACCCTGGTATTAGTGTTCTTGTTTCAAATCGAGTTTCAAAATATGCTTTAATCACGCGATTATCCAAATTTATTTCAAAAAGGGAGACTTGTATTAGGAAATTCGTGATACATAATTGCAACACGATTTTTAGATAAGAATAATCTATTCGCGATTATTTATTTTTTTTTAAAGAAACATTTAAATATCTCAATATTTTATGATATCTTTGTTTTTAGCCGCAAACGCATGATTGTATATTGATAGCTATAGGCACAATTGTACTAGGCTCGCAATTAAAGAGAGTCTCACTCTCGCATAGGTGAGAATCTCTTTAACATTATGTGCGGTGAAACCGGTCCTCTTTAACATTACCACGAGTTTAAAAGGGGGTCGATCGGTCATAGACAGTAATTTTTCGATCTAGTCCGGTTTCGGATTAGATCGAAGCTGGTTTAAGCGCGCGATCGTGTTTCTAGACTGTTGAAGGATAATTGGAGCATGGCTAGGATCTAACATCGATTCGCAGAAGAATTTCGAAAATTTCAGAAACCCTACCGGTTCCTGTAGCAAGATCACATGACTTAATATGATATTCGTAATTCCAAGTAGGAAAAATCTATTTCTTGCACTATTCGTGTAAGAAGCAAGTTATATAATATCCACATACGCACACACGCGAAATATATTCATAAGGAATTTTTTGATCAATTTCGGAGTCAATACTTTCTCCATGACATTCTGAATTAAGACACGATTCGAATTATTCAATATCTCAGATTCAATAGAAACGACGTGAAAGTTTACACGCAAATACACGTGATCAAACGTCACGTAAATATGGCAATGTCGCGGCTGCATTCTCGCGATGAGGCGAGTCCGGAAATTATAGAACATTAGCAGCATCCATCAATATAACATTTTCGTTGTCGGAAGTTTACTGTGCAATTATCCACGACGACGATCCTTAACGTACACTAATCGTTTGACCTATCCTACTTCTGACGAGTCATTTACGAGAAAATTCCCATCCTAATTTCTTTCAATGTATCCTATACGATACAATCCTGCATCAATCCTACTTGTTAACCTTGTTAGCTTGTTAGTTATAAAATTAATGATTCGTTCTAATAATACGTGGATGTTGCAGTCTCCTTATAAAAATATTATTATTTCAAGATAACAATATATATAATACCACAAAACTGATAATTATAATATTGTTATCGAGCAAAATCTTCAATATATTTTAACTAAAGTTTCTTTAGGCTTTTTTGAATCCAAATAGCTGTATGTTAGTTACGAAAAACAGCCAACAAAAAGAAGTATTTTGTCATTAAAGACAACAGTTGAAAAGTTGCTCCCGACGAGGAATACTCGTTCACTGACATTTAACAACGGCCGAAACGATTAAAGCCTGCGCGAATACACGGGCACGATGGACTGGCTAATGCTAATGTTGCGCTACGCGAAAACGCAGCTGAACGTCGCTGTTCGCGCGACTCGGCCGGTGGGTTCAGCTTGGCGCGAGACTTTCATCGCGTCGAGAGAGCAAAGGGGGCCTCAGGCCCGGGGCACTCGACGGTCGACCGGTGAAGGGAACGGATCGTCGGTCTGATCGTTGCTCGTTGCTCGAGCAAACAGCGGCTAAAATGCCGTCGAGTTAGTAATTAAATTCGCGACTCCCCTCGTTACGGTCCACCCAGGTTCGTCGATCGCGTCGTCAATTCCCCAAGATTTCATCCTGAGAGAGCCTGGACCGTCGAGCGATCCGAGAAACCGAGCAGGATGTATCATGGGGATCTCTGAGGAAACAATGAGCCTTCAACAACGCCGCGGATAGTCTGAGGACCCGGAAAAACGCTGGTCGCTGTCGAGAAGTCAATTAACGATAAATGAAGAGTGTATAAGGAAACGCGGAAGGACTGGCGGAATTATTTAAAATCGTCGCGAAAGTTGACGTTGCGAAGGACTCGTGAAGAACTCGCGAGGATCGGTGTCTGGAGGGTGCGAAGGGACCAACGGAGAAGAATTTCCAAACAGCTGGCAGGAGTGTCTCGGAGCGACGGTGATCGGGATATCGCGATATCGTTTTCGCCGGGTGGTTTCGCGTGGACGTTTCGACACCGTTTTCATCGGCGAGGAAAGAAACGCACACATCTCCCGTGAAAGTTTCCCCGAGTAGTGCGCGAGTGCACGGCTGAGCCCGTTAGCGGGCCCCGCGGATGTTCGCGTACCGAACCGCCGTTGGATCGTCGATGTGATCGCGCACCGTCTCCCGTCGATCCGTGGAGAATGATCTTGGTGTACGGGATCATCCTGCCCCTCGTGGGAAGCATCGCGGTCCAAGGCACGTATCTCTCGATCGAGAGCCGCTAATTTCGAAAGTGGCGTAAGTCGAAAAGAGATTGCAAGGACGAATTTGAGGATTTTGGGAGAGATCGAGAAGACGCGACCAGACTGGCATTTAAAATTCGCGTTGTATATCTTTAAAGGACATTTCGACGGTGCAAATTTGACGCGAGACATAATTGCAACAATCTTAGACGTTCAATATTTGAACGATCGAATCTCTTAAATTCTTGTTAAGTTGAGATTCAAGTAAAGCTTCGGTTACCTGCAGAATAA